TTATTCAATAAGAGACAACCCACATGTTCACAAATCTCTATAATTATTCAATAAGAGACAACCCACATGTTCACAAATCTCTATAATTATTCAATAAGAGACAACCCACATGTTCACAAATCTCTATAATTATTCAATAAGAGACAACCCACATGTTCACACATCTCTATAATTATTCAGACACAACCCACATGTTCACACATCTCTATAATTATTCAATAAGAGACAACCCACATGTTCACAAATCTCTATAATTATTCAATAAGAGACAACCCACATGTTCACACATCTCTATAATTATTCAATAAGAGACAACCCACATGTTCACACATCTCTATAATTATTCAATAAGAGACAACCCACATGTTCACACATCTCTATAATTATTCAATAAGAGACAACCCACATGTTCACAAATCTCTGTATAATTGTATTTTGATATGCCGTGGTGAGGCGTGCACATAACGGCTATAATCGTTGCTTACACTTTCCATTGCCAAAGAACAATCATTTTACTATTTATTATTTACTTACAAATGTGCCATTTGGCTTTTACGACTCAAAAACAACAAAATAAAGGCTTGCTTACACCACTCAGAAACTAAAGTGTGAAAGCAACCACTTACTAGTACTGTAATGCTAGCTGCACATGCATATAATAGTCAACAGAAAAGTGACAAGGAGGAAAATATCATGTGATATCCTCCCCAGTGTAATCGTTACCTGCTACCGCTGACATTTTAGAACAGATCACGCCTTGCCACTATTGAAATGCATCCCACATATTCATATATCTAGTTGATTGTCACATGATGAAATGTATCCCACATGTTCACAACTTTCTATGGGATGTTTAAAGCTGTGTAAATGTTCATATTATAAGATAAAAAGTGGTAAGTGGTATTATACTGATAGATAACAAATGAAATGGTTCGGCCATCTAGAATGCAGCCAGACAAAACCGCAAGGTATTTGTTTTTTAAACAGCATAACATTTGGGAGGAAAGCATAGTCAGGACCAAGAAAGAGACGGACAAATAGTGTAGCTGGAAAAAAAAAAGATAAACAAAGCCATCAGCAAGCAGCCCGAGAAGCGCAAGACAAATAGAACAAATAAATGCGACACTGGGCACAACCAGGTATCAGTGGGATGACATAAGATGAAATAAGTTCTTTTATCTCTAGAAACAGCGGCAGAGATATTAACTGGTTAAGAAAAACTTAAATATCACTTTATCATGATCACCATGTCTGTCCATTCTTCCATCAACTTATCTGATTCCTTCAGAGATGTTTGATCACTTGGATAACTGCTCATTATTTGTCTTGTCCTCTTGTTGTCTTTAGTTTCAAGGGGAAATCTAACTTTGCTGCTTTTGGCACTTCAGATTTTCTCCCTTTTGTCAGATGGCCTTCACTGCCCAGAGTGTATCCGATATGACATTTTGATTGTTTCCTAAAGTGTTTTTCTGATGGTTTTAAGCGACTTCTGTGAAATGGTCGTTCGACCCCCAAATGGATCGTGACCCACAGGGTGAGAACTGCTGATCTGTATATATATATATGGCTCCATCTCTCTCCCCAGAATGGCCAGCTGCATGCTGAGAACATCAAGAAAAATGTGAACTCTGTAGATTCAGTGAAAATTCCCCTGGGATCCCAAAAATGTTTGTACCTATGAACTGATTGACATGTCCATGAAACTAACCTATGACCCATGAGGCAAACCACAGAGACCCCCACTTTAACTTTATGAGGAACCTTGCTTCTTTTGTCACTTCCTCCATTTTCTCACTCATGTCTGCATGTGGAGTCATTTCTTTGTTGTTTCTCAAACATCAGTTTACTTTAGGCTTATCTGGGTCCATCTTGTTTCTTACTAACAGCACACTATTTTCTCTTCAAAACTTACATTTCCTTTGTGCTAGAAGTTATGTAATCATAATTTCCTAACAGGAAACAGTTTGAAGTCATAAAAAGTGAGGAGCATCATGTAAAAATCAGAGCTGACATTAAAAAATCCATTTTGATATGCAATCATAGAGCCATTTTTTTTTAAAACCAAGAGGTGTAAGCAAACAAACCAAATGACCGATTTGTTAGACGTATCTTTTTCAATGCACCAGAAAACACATCTCACATTGGGGGTAGCATTCTTCAAAATTCAGCTTTGACACTACAGGACTGCCTCAGCAAGCTTGATACCTCAACCAAATTAGATATTTTCTTAAATGATTCAGTGGAATTCTGTGCAAATATGGTCTATAATCATCATCATTGTGGTTGGATTTGCTTAGCAAATGAATGGTGTTGTTTTTGTTCCAACCAGTTTATCTATGTGCACAGTCCAGTTGTTGTCATTAAGTCTCCAGGTTTGCTTCTTCTTAGAAATCCAAACAATTTTCAACGTTCAATTTCTGTAATCAACTGACTGGCTTTTATCTGTCCCAAGAAGGTCTGCCTCATTTGTTCAAAAAAAAAAAAAAAAAAGTAAAAAAGGTAAAAAGTAAAGTAAAGATCCCTTTACACGCCCATAGGCGCATCGGGCATATGGGAAGAGCACCCATATTTTTACAGACCAATCGGCACTCGGTAAGTAATGTGGTCAGCATTAACCGACCGTCTTTACTTTCCCAGGACAGCCCATCCTGGTACCCGTTTGAGGCTGGGTCGACCTGCGACGTTCCATACCACGATAAAAATCCGCGCAGCCGCAGTGGGTTTCGATTGCGGTACGTTGGATTACGAGTCAGACTCGCAACGCCTTAGCCACGGGCGCCGCTCATTTAGTGGGAGCTGAGGTCAATTTAAAAAAAAAAAAAAACCTTTTCCTCAATGCTAGTTCAAACCCAAGACCTTAGGGTCTGAAAAAGTCCATTCACGGTTTTCTTTTCATACTTTTAACACATACAAAAGATTTCTGCTGCAATTAAACATTCCTCAGTTTGTTGTCTTTAATTGTTCCATGTTTTTTTTATGTATACAACAGTGCAGGTTCTATGAAATCACTGAAACACTTTTTCTAACTGCAATTAACAACTTTAAATTGGAATATTTTGCATCTTGTGCCAAGACAATTTTTGCTCGAATCTCTACAAAGCATCTTACATTAGATTAGGCAAGTAAAAACATTTCCTTTTTTTTTTTTTATGTAAGTAAAATTGTGGTTATTTCCTTTTTCTTGGAAACTACTGTGCTATCTGTTGTCTTACAATTGTATCTAATAAGAGCTTAGTTGCTCACAGTGCACAATCCATGACTTTTTTTCTAGAATAAAAAAAGGCGTTAGTACTGAGTGACTACAACAACAACAAAAAGGTGCCGGAAGTCATCACAAAGTGTCCTTTACAGTACAGCTGAGGGAAACATAATGTCCAAAACATGTACCAGTGCTGTGTACATTAAGTACCATCAGAAAACAAGCCCTGGTACAATTACTGACTAAACACTGAGAATCTTAATTTGGTAATGCAAGGACCAGTATATGCTAGCTGGTCACTTTATTTTATCACTCTGAGACTTGTAAATATGAGGTCTATCACTGCCCACGCTTACAGCAGTAGCTAGCCTGGGAACACACTGATTGTTTTATGTACAACAGTTTGAAGAAAGGTCTACTGCTTCTTCTGATAGTCCAGGCCATGTGCCATTGGTAGTCCTCTCTATTCACAACCTTCTGTTTCAAGTTCTTTATATAAGTTCTGACATAGATCATGTTCTCTGTCATGATGTCAAACTGCTCAGCATCTTCTTTTTCAGTACACACATGTCGTCATTGTAACTAACAGAGCATGCTGAGAAGGGTGGAGACATGCATGCTCCGTGCAGAGTGGCAAGCATCACTTCAGAGGTTCCGGGTAGTTAGCGTCCTTTGGCTGTTTTCTCCAGATAATGCCGGTGTGTTGGGAAATGAGCAGGCAGATAGACTGGCCGGTTCTGCACCACTTTGTGGTGAACTGATGAATGACAAGCTGGATGTTGTGAGGGCCCTTTATGAGCAAGTGAACAGTGCTGAGGAACAGATAGATCATTACGGTCTGAGAATAATGGCACTGTGAGGAGTTACAAGGGGATCTGGCTGATGCTCGACACTCTTAATTGAACTTTCCCACTGTCATGATGTGCTCCAGTTTTCTCCTTCTTATGACATGCAGGAAAAGGTTAACAATTTTAATAAAAAGTGTCTGGTCAAATGTTACAAACGTTTAGTTCACAAAATATTTTGAATAAAATAAGCATGAAGGTCCCTTTTTCTAAAAATGAGGTGTACTGGTTATATGTCGGCCCCAATTTTTATTTCAGACCAAACTGCATCTGATGAATGATTTGGTCAATATCTTAGTGGCTGCCTTTACTTTCTATAAAATATTTTAGTGCCTTTTTTTAGGCCGGGGGAGCCCAGCTCAATAAATAAAATACTTCCTTTTAACCATGTGCTTTAGCAACATACTGAAAAATAGCCTATGAAAGAAATTGTCGTGTACTAAACTGTTAGAACTGCTATTTAAAGTCAAAGCAGAAATTAACATAAATGACTTCTTAAGCAGGGTAAAACTAAAAGTTTGAACAAAAAAAGTTAAGTAATCAAATCAAATAATCAGTTAAGTAATCAAATAAAATTATCTCTAAACTGTTTTCCAAAGAGAAAAAAACTAAATAAAAAAATTTATTAAAGAGAATCAATAAACTAATTAGAATGTCAAAAGTGAGCAAACAAATACTGATTTTTATTGGAAAACAAATGCTGACTGCAGAGATAAAGTATTTATTATGCACACACAAAGATCAAATGAACATAAGATGCAGATTAATGACAACATAAGTTATAATACCTCTAGAACTGTTACCTACACTGACTGGGCTTGTTCAGAATTTAACAAACCAGCCATGAATTATGTTTATTTTCCATTTTTATTCAATATACAGATAGTTCCTTTTTTTGTTTGTTTTTGTAAACTTTAAAATATACAATGCAAAGGTCTGCTTGTTGGGGCACATGCTTATTCTTGGAGTGGGTCAACCTGGTGTGGGTCAACCAGGTGTGGGTCAACCAGGTGTGGGTCAACTGAGTGTGCAACTTGACTTTCAACAATGGGATTTGTGGTTTCCTGCGTATCCTCTTCGTAGTCACGAATGATTCTATTTGCCTGGCGTAAATACTGCTGCTGTTTGTAGTAAATCTTGAGCACACCTTTAATGGCCACAAATGCAATGCCACCCTGCAAAATAGATTCAGATTGTTAAAAAAAATCAACTAAGAAAAAGAAAATATAAATTATCATTACAGTAAAATTTCTTTTGTCGTTTCAGCTACCACTTAAGAGTCAAAGGTTGTTTTCTTTTCCTGCTTTTGAACATACAGAGGTCTTGTTTCATATTTCTTCATCATCATCATAATCACCTTCCACTTTTTCCATCAATTAACATTTGGAGAAATAGATGGAAGTCCAGTGCTTGATAGCTGGCACTAGACAATACCATTCTGTGCGAATGCACATCATCTTTAATGTCATTAATCCATTTTCTTGGGCACCCTGTTGCTCTCCTTTCAGCTCTTCTTTTATCACTCATGGATATACTCTTTTCTCTTGTTTGGAGTTCAACCCCTTTTGCCCTAAGAAGCCTAAATCTAGTTCCTTCAGGTTGTGCTATGTCCCCGTAAATGCTGATAAATGACCATGTCTGCGTGACATGTTCTCAAAAAGTATTAATTGTTTTACACCCTTGGGAAATTATTCCATTAATACTTCACTGCTCGTGTTTACTGATCAATCAATCAATCAGGTGCCGTCTCCACAATGAAGGTTGGCTGCAATGGATCTCCAACAAGCCCTGTCTCTTGCCCTTGATGTACACTCACTCATACTGCTGTTCGTCCATCTCTTGATGTTATCCTCCCACTTGTAACTCTGTCTGCCTCTTGCTCGCCTACCTTGAACCTTTGCCTCTCTCTAGGATGATCTTTACAATACTGTTATATCTTTTAATGTGACCAAAATATTTCACTTGTCTCTTTTTTATTTCACCTAGCAACTCTCTTTTCATTCCCAATTTCTTCAGTACCTCAGTTTACTGATAGCCCCTTTATATATTTACAAGAAAACACAATTTTAAATCTAGATAAATATATTTTAAAACAATATATTAGTCACTTGTTACAATTTATTTTCCAAGTATTTTTTCAGAAATTCCCGCTAGTTCAAGGATCTGTGTATGTTATTTTTTTAAGCATTTAAGGGGTGAATGCTAAATATTAAATTCCTCAAAAATTAAAACCCGCTGCTAAAGTTATTCAGGAATATATTATAATTATCTTTTTAACATTATATACTTTCAGGTAGCAGCTAACCACACTGAAATAATACAAACCTCAAACTGAGGTTGCTAACAATCTAATGAGCGTCTCCTCAAAAAGAGCTATACAATCTGAGCTGGCCATTAGCACTTTCTTTATTTACTGTATGTAGGACACTCCTGTATCAGAGGCCTTGATGTCCTTTTGTAAATTTCAGTTAACATTTATCAGCAGCTCTAATGTAGTCTTTTTGTCATCACTGATACACCAATACCATCAGTTCACTTAAACAGGCACACAGGGACTTGGATGAGCTTCAAACACAGTCAAGAATGAACAGATGCATCAGATGGCAAGTATAACTACACCAAGACTGTCATCGTCACACTGGGGAGGTATTGCATAAAGCAGATTCCTGTAGTGGTAGACACCAGGATAAGAGCACTGACAGATCAACACTGATGTCCACAAGACATCATCATGTACACAGAAGGCTCCATGTAGTGCGTGCGGGTCAAGGTCAGCTTGGGAATATACAGCACAGAGGAAAAGGTCAACAATGAAGGAGGAAAGCATGGTGAAGATGCTTGGACAGAGTGGCAAGCTTCACTGGAAAGGTCATGGGTAGTGAGCATACTTTGGATCTTTTCTCCAGGTCATGCCGACATGGTGGGTAATGAAAAGGCAGACAGATTGTCTAGATCTGCACAACTGGGTTGTAAATTGATACATGACAAGGCGAATGTGGTCGAGGCCCTTTGGGAACAAGCAATGGAATCAGTAGAAAAAGAAGATTATTATGGCCTGGAGAGAATGAGGCCCGTGGGTGTAATCATAGAGTCTGGCCGGCTCACTACACTCAGAGGAAAGGCAAGACGGACATTTAACCAGATTGTGACCGGTACCATCAGTATTGGAACTCTGCGGTGGCTGCTTAAGATGAGGACGGAGAAGTCTTGACTCAACTCTTAAAGGAGGATAGCTGTGCTTACCAGGTAACTAGGTCAAGCATGACCATGGAGCTAACCACCACCTCCAAACCACTCGCAGGAGCAACAAAACAATCAGCCACACACCAAATGATACTATCAGAAACATGCCTGAGAAAATTGCGACATTTATTTTAACCCATGAAGACTCAAAGACTGCTTTTTTAAAGTACAAAAAATGTGGGATAGAAAGCGTTGAAGATCTTCTTCAGCCTAGTTACTTGTAAATACCATCTGACCTAACTAAAACTGTGCCTACAATAGCTGAACTGATTAGAGATTTTAACTGTAAACATACCACTTTTACTTTCTACATGTAATTCAGCTAACTTGAACAGAGATTTTAACTGAAAACGCCACTTTTACCTTTACTTTGTACATACAATTTAGCTGACTTGAACAGAGATTTTAACTGAAAACACCACTTTTACCTTTACTTTATACATACAATTCAGCTGGCTTGAACAGAGATTTTAACTGAAAACACCACTTTTACCTTTACTTTATACATACAATTCAGCTGGCTTGAACAGAGATTTTAACTGAAAACACCACTTTTACCTTTACTTTATACATACAATTCAGCTGGCTTGAACAGAGATTTTAACTGAAAACACCACTTTTACCTTTACTTTATACATACAATTCAGCTGGCTTGAACAGAGATTTTAACTGAAAACATACCACTTTTACCTTTACTTTATACATACAATTCAGCTGGCTTGAACATAGATTTTAACTGAAAACACCACTTTTACCTTTACTTTATACATACAATTCAGCTGGCTTGAACAGAGATTTTAACTGAAAACACCACTTTTACCTTTACTTTATACATACAATTCAGCTGACTTGAACAGAGAATTTAACTGACAAACTTACCAACAATGTCCTCTGGAAGTTTGACTGGACAAAACCGAACATGAGCTTGCCTACAATTGTGGCTATGGTGGGCATGACCAGGGCCCCGCACAGCACCCGGGTGGCAGAGATGGGGTCTGTCAGGGTTACCGTGTCAGCAGGCACTCGGGACAGTCGTGAGTGCTCTGTAGTGAGAAACATGGAGGATGGCAACATCAAAAACAGGTTGCTTGCAGGTTGCAAAATACTACACAAATAAATATTATCATTAAGCAGTCGGTTATTTACAGAACATGACTCTCATCATGGCAAGCCTGTAAATCTATCTATCTTTAGCCAATTCTCCAACCATGTGTGTTTTCATAGCCAGCGTATCTTCAACGTCCTGTATCCACATTTATGTAGGTCAGCATCAGCCTCATTTTCTGGAAACTGTACCCTCCACATCACCGTTAACATTACGTAAACATATGAAGTTAACAAATCAAGAGGATCGACTTGATTTCACTGGCTGTTATCCCATAAGGCTCAGTTTTGCTCTGCAGAAAAGCTAGGAGCCTGCTCAGAGCATCACACAAAGCATGAACTCTGTAGCCCCAGGCTCTGTTACAGAGATCCCAATGTGATTTTTAATGGGCACACGTGTAAACTATTGTGATTTATAATTATTACACATGTAAAAACTGACGTGTAATGATTACATATGAAACAACTGATATGTAACTATTACACATGAAACCATTTACATGTAACCATGAAACAAATGGTGTGTAATTATTACACAAGAAACAATTGACATGTAATACTCACACATGAAACAAATGAGATGTACTGGTTGAACATGTAAAGAACTGGGACATACAATGATTAGACATGAAACAAATGAGATGTAACCATAAAACAACTGGTGTGTAATGATTACAATGAAACAGTTGATATGTAATGGTTACACAAGTAAACATTTGACATGTTATGCTCACACAAATGATATTTTTTTATTACACAAACAAACAATTACAATTTTATGATTACAATGTATGCAAATGTAACATGCTATGGTTACACATGTAAACAACTGAAATATGTAACCATCTAATAATTACTCATGTAAAAACTGTGACATCTAATTATCAGACATGTAAACAATTGAGATAAAAATTATAACATATGTAAATAATTGCCATGTAATGGTTACATGTGTGAACAACTGTGAATGTAATAATGACACATGTATACACTTGATATGTAATGTGTATGTAAACAACTGGAACATGTAATGATTACATGTGTAAAAAAAATTACCATACATGATTACACTTCATATGTAACTATCATATGTGTAAACAATTTCAGGATTTAACCGTTATACATCTGGGCATTTACATAGAGATGGGTGGGGGGGAAAAAAAAAGGAGGGGGGGGGGGGGGGGTCCCGGCATGCGAGACAGAAACAGAGAGACAAAGAAGGCAAAAATAGCAAGTACTTAGTCCTGTGATCCTCCACAAATGCACACACGCACACACACACATGGACACACAGGAGTAAACCAACCAGCTTTTAATAATATAAGTCTCTTTTCACTCTAGCGCATACCCCACAACAGTTACATACAGAAATACAAGTACCCAAGAAAATTATTAGTAATCAACATCTGAGATGTTCTTCGTGTTCAAAGACTGTAAACTCTGGAGGAAAAGTTCTGGTTCTACTTCTTGTTCCAGAACTTGAGGTCTGTGTGCAGATATGTTTTACAGATCAGTTTTATTTACATGCAAAGTATTAGCTCCTCGCCTCTCAGGCGCCTGCACCTCGACTGCTAAGAAAAATATGGGAGATAATTCAGACTTCTATTCAAAGGAGTTGAACTCCCAGAGGGAAACACCTGTGAAGGGGTGGAGATAAAACCGACAACCTGGATACACTCCAGTTATTGTCAGAACCCCGGATCATAGGCACACTAAGGCCTTCCCCCATCCTAATTTTGCAATATATTCAAGACGCCCGCCCCATAATGTATAGAAGTATTCTTTTTAAATTTAGGTTTATACATAAAATTTTATTTCAAAAGCATAATTTGTTTTCTCATTCAGCCAGTTATTTTATTACTATTAATATTTTTAGTCATCAATCAAGTCGCCCCCTTGTGGGATGCATTTTTTCGTTATTTTGAAGATTCACCCTAGCTGTCAGGGGCCCTAATATAGCCTATCGGTTGAACGGAGTTTCCATGACCTCTCCATGGGTGATCCTCATCCGAACTTTGTGTCACCTGGTGTCTTTTGCGCCACTTGCGTGGTTAAAACAGTGGTATGCGCGCCAGCTCTCTGGCTTAATGTTCCTTTCCTCAGAGAAGGACCGCTCCTTCCAGATATCCCGTTTAATACCCAAAGGATTTATAATAAGAGCATCCAATATAGCGACAGCAGTCCTGTCAGGGTTATGGCTATCTACCCATGCCCGTGAGACTGTCCCTAGAACAAGCTTGTTCTACTTATTGCTACACAGTGGAACACTACATTCAACTACTGTAGAATATATTATGACCGTGAAATGGAGACCGGTAACACGGTGTTATAGAGACAGTGAGTAGGTTTTGTCTGTCGCCACCCACTAAATGTGGGTTGGGTTGTGGGTGTGTTAATTATGTGCATATCTTTCAGATGTTTTTCTGTACCCTTTTAAACTACTGTTTTCAGACTGTCTGTGCATTTGCTTGTGACAGTTTAAACAATGTCTTTTCACTGAGAATGACTACACGTGTATAGTAAGCCATCTCTCTCTCCCTCTCTCTCTCTCTCTCTCTCTCTCTCTCTCTCTCTCTCGTGTGTGTGCGCGTGCGCAGCTATTTATCTGTGCTCCGACACTCTCTCTTCGTGCTCCTGTTTCTCTCTACTCCCAGACTGTGTGTGTGTGTGCGCGTGTGCAAGCGCGCGAGCTCTAATTTCTCCCTGCTCCCATTCCTAAAATCATCTGTCTATATCTCCACAGTCTCTCCCTGCTCCAACCCCCCCCCCCCCCCACCTTTTTGTTGACATTTTATCTTCCTGTGCTCTCTCTCTGCTTCCACCCCCCCCCCCCCCCCCCCCCCCCCCCCCCCCCCCCGCCCCTGGTCACCTAACAATACGCAAACCGACACACCAGTACACAGTTATTGAGAGACAGCTGTGCCAAACATGAGATTATGATAACGCCCACATTCAGCAAGGCAGCGATATTGACGTTTGTCAGTTTCCATGGCGCTTGATGAGCTTCAATGATAAAAACAGCCAAGGCTTACAGAGACAGGAAGTTTCTCAGATTACACCTGCAGGCCCGCAACCTTCCGATTCCTATCATCTCTGATAGGTTTCAACTTCATGTCTGAATGCACGCGCATGCGCCGACACTTCAAGGTTTTTATACTTTTCATGTCCAGTGCAACCTCTCATTTCTACTACGTTCTGCTATTTTCGAGTGCTAATCAATAGCTGTGTATTTGTTTGTCATGTTGCACTGATTAACTACAACACAGCAGGGGCGCTGACACAAAGAACACGTTGGGTGGAGGAAGGGTCTCAACCTTCTTACACGTGTTCTGGTGAGGGGGTGGGGGTGTCGCAAGTGGTCTAAGCTGTGTTTAAGTGCGTTATAATAATACTAATAATACTATTATAGGCGTTGCGAACGAGCTTCGTTCGATCCCAGCTACGGGCCTTGCGTTGGTTTCAACAGTGGTATCGAGAAGCCGACCGTCTAGAAAGCAATCGCAAACTACTGGACGTACATTTGCCAAGAAAAACCTCAACAGCTAAAAAATGCTGGGGTTGGCTCTGCAACGTCCTATAAAGGATACGCAACTAACTGGAAATTATACACAGCAAAAATACGCATACAAAACAGTTCAAACAGTTCCCGGAGTGTTGTATTGTGTAGAAAACAGTCACAGTGTAATTATTTATACTACATTTCCTTCAAAATAGTTTCCTTCGGCAACTATACATATTTGCCAACGTTCATACAGTTGTAGGAAACATTTCTGAAACCCATTCTTTGACACTTCTTAGGATTGCTGCCCTCTTAGTGGCGAGCAATGTTAAGCCCTTTTATACGTCGCATATAACATAGTCACAATTATAACCTAAAGCTTCCTATTCGGGAATGCTGGTTGGATGTGACGATTGTTTTTCCCAGCAAAGCAACGGAACGTCATAAACACTTATTCAAACATGACGATTCCGAGAACTTCTTGAAGCAACACCGCCAGTGCGCGTGTGTGTAATGTAATGTATATAAACAAATAAGTATTTTTTTTTTAAAGGGAACCTCTACATATAGTTTGGGGAGATGTATGAGCTCAGCAACCTTACATAATCTCTAGGGAATGGGCACTCAGTTACCCCTTCCCCCTTCAAAACCCTAAAGTGCTGTTGGGGAGGTGTGCCAGTTTCGGTGGCATTCTGATTGATTTGATCATTCTCTTCTTCTGTTGATAAGAGACTGGTATGTCAGGTTGTTCTTCAGTTGCAACATCTTCTATTTTCCCTCTTCTCATAACAAGGTCGAAAAATGATGACTGTCTCCTTCTGATGTCTGTGATAAGTTGTCTTCGGGCTCCCGCCTCTTTCAAAACCTCTTTGTTGCTCTTTTTGGCTGTCCAATGTATTCTAAGCATTCTTCTGTAAAACCACATCTCTGAGGCCTCAAGAAATTGTTTGGCCTGCCTACCGATTGTCCAGGATTCACAGCCATATGTTAAAACTGGATGTATGTAGCAAGCAAGAATTCTTTTTCTAACTCTCAATGACAAGGATATATTGCACCAGATGTTTTTCATTTTATAAAATGCAGTTTTAGCCTGTCCTATTCTGTTTCTTATCTCAGTTATGCATCTTCCATCTGAAGTTATCCATGTGCCCAGATACTTAAATTTCTGTACTTGTCCTAAAATAACACCATTTACTTTTATTACACATTTAGGAATAATTCATTTCTTTGATAACACCATTCCTTCTGTCTTCTGTCTTCCCATTATCCAAACTGAGGCCCATTCTTCCACTTTCTAACACCACAATGTCTATCATTTCATGTAGTTCCTTCTGACTTGTTGCTATCAAGACTGTGTCATCAGCATAACGTAAATTGTTTATATTGTGCCCACCAACCACAATTCCGGGCATACCAATTAAAGCTCTCATTATATATTCA